GCCGAGGCTGAGGTCGTCGCCTCCGACACCCCGGGGAGGGGCGTGGTGGCACCCAGCCAACCCCGGGGTGACGTGCGTCTGATCTAGCCCGCCACCCCCATGCCCACCTCCCCGCGTGGGTGCCCAGGCCCACTACCCCCCTGCCCCCCTCCTCCCGCCTTGGGTCCTCTGGGGAGGGGCAGGCCTGCCGTGCCCAGGTTAGTGGGTGCGCCAGGTCACGCAGGTGGCCAGACTCAAAGTTTTGAAGGATGAGTAGGAGTCCGTGGGCTGGAGACCGGGAGGTGCGCGGATTCCAGCCAGGTCTAGGGGTTGACGCCGAGCTCTGTGGGGCTCCTTCGCATGGTCCCCGCCCCTGCCCAGTCTCTCCTCCCCCCAGCTTGGGAGCCTCGGTTTTCTCCCAAATAGATGGGAGCCTCTCTCAGGGCTGAGGGCTGCAGCTCCCACACTTCTGTCTGAGCTTCAGTTTATTCTTCTATAACATGGTTTTAAGAGAGATTGTGTGAAGGCTTGGGGGACATTGCAGAGAGGAGCCCACCTGGGGCCCTGGCACAGGACATGAGCCAGCGATGGAGGGGGGTGTCCATGCAGAGAAAGGGGTCCTGCCACAAGGTGAGAAAAGGACCCAGGTGAGAAGTAGACATGTCCTGGGTCCCTCTAGGGCTGGGATCTGTGTCCGTGGGAATCAGGCGAGCCCCCTCCTCATGCAGGACCGAGCCACCAGGATGGGGTCAGAGGAGGTGGCTGCCAAAGCACCCGCCAGGCCCATGCCTGGATGCCTCCCCTCACTTCTCACCAGATTAGCTCCTCCTGTTGCCGTGAGACCCACCTCTGCCATCTAGCAGTAAGCTCCGGAGGGACTGGTCAGCCCATAACTGTGGTTGGCACCTTTTCTCAAAGCCTTGCCCGTCGCTTCTAAAAGACTGGCAGCCCCCTGCGAGTAAGGCCCTGCTTTATTTCTGTCTGGATCCTCAGTGCTCAGCGCAGTGCCTGGCATACAGTAAAAGCCAAACATTTGTTTGAAGGGTGGGCTGAACTGGGTGCTGAATTATGCTGCGTTGAGTGAAGTCAAGTGAAAGGGTGCTGATGTGAGCTCAGGGTGGGACTCACCCCCTGCCCTTCGTCTCGTGTTGTTTGGACCAGGGGAAATGGCCAGCTGATCAAAGTGATTGATCTTATTTATTTATTTTTTAGATTTTATTTATTTGAGAGAGAGAGAACACAAGCAGAGAGGAGCGGCAGAGGGTGAGGGAGAAGCAGACCCTCCGCTGAGCAGGGAGCCTGCTGCAGGACTCCATCCCAGGACCCTGGGATCATGACCTGAGCCGAAGGCAGACGCTCGACCGACTGAGCCACCCAGGGGCCCAAAGTGATTGATCTTAAAGTAAATGAGCCTTGTGCTTCCCCTGGGTCGGGAGCTTTGAAAGGGCCTACGCAGGAAGACACACCAAGCTCTCCTGGGTGTAAATAAAAATTATCCAGTGTGTGTGAGACACTGCTCTCCCTACAGGAGACACTTTGGGGTCTCTGCCCCCATGGGGTCTCAGTCTAATGGGGGACACTGGCAACAAACAAGTAGCCATTTCAGGAAGCATCCAATGCCTGCAAGACAACAGGACAGAATGGTGGAATAGTGTGTGACCATGGGGATGGGGTGGGCATCATT